TTTGTGCTGGCCTTAAATTTGCAGTGATCCTCCTGTTCAGCCTCCCAGCCTCAGTGCTGGGATTCCTGGTGTGTGCCACTATGCTTGTTGACAGTGGAAATGTTTTAGACTCATTTTAACAGATCCTACATTACACACAGTTACTCCCCCCCCCCTTCTTTATGCCAAGCCTTCTTTTAAAATATTTTGAGATAAAGTCTTACAAATTACCCAGGATACCATCCTCCTGCCTCTCACCCTCCCAAGTGCTGGGATCATAGGTGTGTGCCATCATGCCGAATTCAGTGTCTCTTAAATTCCCTTGATATGCTAATAAACACCTAGCAACTGAACGCCTGCTGGCATGTGGGATGGTCCAGCTGACTGGGATGACATGACTGTCTCCTGTGCTGGTGATACTGCCCAGCGGGACAGTCACAGCACAGGGCCTTGCTGGAACCCTTTGCCATGGTTGCATGTGGCTTGAGCGTGGCCCCACAGGTGTTCATGTGCTGAGTTTGTGGCTGGTGGACTCAGAACCTTGAAGAGGTAGAGCCCGGGGGCAAGGTCATTGGATCCTGTGGCTGCTGCCCCTAGAAGGGATGAATGTGGTTCCTGAGAGACCCTGGTGAGTTCTCATAAGAGCAGGCTGTCATAAAAAGATCAAGACTGAGCAGCCATGGGATATACACCAGCCATCCCATCACTGTGGGAGGCTGGGCCGGAAGGATGGTGAGTTCAAACCCAGCCTGGGTAACTTACCCTGTGTCAAAAAGGACCTGCCCTTCCAACCTTGGTGATGTGAGACCCCCACTCCTCCCTCATGGTATAAGTGGTTTTCCTTTGTCGACTGCTCCTGGCATGGGGTACCATCATTCCAAGCCTGGTAGCAGCAGGACCAGTCAGGCTTGGTATAAAACCTCCAAACCATGAGCCCAAGCAAACTTTTTTTCCTTTCTTTTTGGCAGTACTTGGGATTCAACCCAGGGTCTTCACACTGAGCTCCATCCCCAGCCCTGTTTTGTTTTCAGACAAGGTCTAGCTAAATCACTAACTTACCCAGGCTGGCCTCAGATTTACAGTGATACTCTTGCCTCAGCCTCCTGTGTGGGCCTGGCCACAGGTTAACTTCTGTGCATAGGCGGTAAAATTAGGTAACTTTTCCATACAGATACCAATGGTTCCAGCACCACAGGCTTTGGACCATTAGTTCCTGCTGAATTATGTTAGCACTTCTGTCAAAAAACAGTGGAGATGGTGTAACCCCTGTGGAAATCAGTGTGGAGATTCCTCAAAAAAGTAGGATTGGAGGTCCCTTTTGACTCGCCTAATCCCCTTCTGGGTATCTTTCCAGAAGAATAAAAAACATTGTACTACAGTGATATATGTACACCAATGTTTAGAGCAGCACAATTCATAATTGCTAGATCTTAGAAACAACTCAAATTCCCATTGACTCAGGAATGGGTAAAAAAGATGTACTTTATTCAATGGAGTACTACTCAGTCATAAAGAAGGGTAAACTGGAGACTTTTCTAGGTGAATGGATGCAACTTGAGACCATACTCATATGTGAAATAAGACACACATGTAAATATTGTGTGTTGTCTCAATAGTGTGAGAAACTGAAACAACATTATGTATTGTACACATATAGGTATATAAAAAGGAATACTTACAATAGTTTACTCCTGATTTCTCTGAGGTCCCTGAACAAAAACATTTGCTCTGGTACTGTTTGGACAACTGAATGTAGATGTCTAACACAGTTGCTTTGTGTTCCTGTCTCAAAACTCTCTGTCCTTGGGCTTTTGGGGTAGCATACCTTCTATTTTCCTCCACTCTACCCCCAGCATTTCCTTCTGTGTCTCCTGGCCTGGTTAATATTTTACACAATGCTTTAAAGTTGGCAGCATGTCTTAAATGCAGAGACCCCTGCAGTGAGTCTCCAATCTTTCCAAAAGGTGTTTTTTTTTTTTTTGGTTTTGTTTTGTTTTGGTACTAGGGATCAAACTCACGGCCTCCTGCTTGCCAGGCAGGCGCTTATACCTCTGAGCTAAATCCCCAGCCCATAATGTTCTGAATTTTTTTTTTTTTTTTTTGCCTTTTTGAGAGAGTTCAGGCTGGCCTAGGATTTGCAGTCATCCTCCTAAAGATTCTCCTGCTTTGGCCGCTTTGGCCTCAATGATGGGATTATGGGCGTGTGCCACCACGCCCAGCATTTCCTGCCAGGTGTTACACCTGCGGCAGAAAGAAAAAGCAAGAGACAAAATGGGGATCTGGGATAACCAGAACTGTTTGCAAGGAACAAAAGGCCTTGAGGCAGCCACAACTTGGCTTTACTGATAGAGGACAGGATTACCAGAGAACTGAAGAGAACAAAGGTGGTTTTATGCTAAGAAGGATCTTGCTCTGGAGTGTCTTTTTGTTTGTTTGTTTGTTTGTTTTTTTACAGTACCAAGGATTGAACTCATGACCTTGCACTTGCCAGGCAGGCGCTTATACCACTGAGCTAAACCCCCAGCCCTCTGGAGTGTCTTTTAATATTAGTGATTTTAGTTTTAGTCTTAGTGGGTAGGGGGGGATGGCCCATCCCTAAAGAGATAATAGGAAATCTCAAAAGGGTGATACTGATAATCCCAAGCCTCTGTGGGTTTTATTATCATTATTAATATCAGGAATGAAATTCAGGACTTAGCACTTCCCAGGAGGCAGGTGATTGTACCACTGAGCTGTATCTCCAGACCAATCTAAAATGTATTTAAATAATAAAAAGACTTATCCATAACTCCTGTTTATAAATCCTAGACAGGTTTCTACAATTCTTAGAAAAACATCTGCAATTCTGAACATAACTTCCAAGGCCCTGCATGATCTGCTCTTTGCTTCTCTTTCCATCTCATTTGTACCACACTCCTCTATTTCAGTTCTTTAAGTATACTGTGGGGTTTTTTTTCTTTGTTGTGTTGAAAATTGAACTCAGGGCCTCACATGCTGAGCAGCACTGTGCCCCTGGGCTACACCCTGGCCGAGTGTACCAGGTTTGCACAAATCTACTTCCTTTGTCTGGAATGATCTCTTTCATCTACCTAGATTTCTCCCAACATATCATTCTTCATGAAGGCCTTTCTGGACCTCTAGACTGTGTTTGGTCTTATTATGACACACTTCCATAGCACCCAAGAGTACCCTTGTGTGGTCGTCATCATCACATCACTCATAGGCTCTAGCTCATTAGCCTGTGTAGTCACAAAGGCAGAGCACTTGTTTAACTGCCTTACCTCATTAGTACCAACTATCACAGCTAATTCACAACGAATTTTGACACTATGAATGGTTTTAGAATATTTAATTCTCACATTAGGAATAAAGACATCTGTAATGGAAGAGTTCCTATGTTGACTGAATTTTTAAACTACTTTTTCTTTTCGGTAGTGAGGGTTGAATGCAGGGCTTTAGCGCTAAGCTACACTTCCAGCCCTGTTTTGCTAAATTCCATGGGCTGGGCTTGTGCATATGATCCTCCTGCTTCAACCTTCCAGAGTGCTGGGATTGCAGGCATGTAGCACCATGCCCAATTTACTTACATTTATTTTTAACTGGTGCATAAGAAAACATAAAAATTGTACAAATTAATGGGGTGTCATGTAATGTTTCAATGCATATATATATTGTGTAATGCTTAAATTAAATCTATCCATCTCGTTTATCATTTCTTTCTGATGAAAAGCACTAAAAAAGTTCTAGCATTTTGTACTTTGAGTTTTAAGAAGTCCATTTAAAGTGATGTGAAACATCAATTCTAATTCTGAGGAATGATGTCCCATGTACACAGCAACTGCTTGTAATCAACATTGTTACAGTTTATAATAACACAGTATTGGGGGTGTAGTTGAAAAAAACTGAAAAAACTTACTGCATTTCATTAGATATTTTTAAATAGAACATTTGTAAGAAAGGTTTATTTTTGTATCGCCTTCTTATCCAGGAAAGATGGTCAAATGGCTGCAAGGCTGGATGGATATTTAACTGATACAGAACGTATAACGTAATCGCATATGAGACTTACAAGCCAAACGAACTGTGATAAACCAGTTATTAATGTAATTTCATGAACGTTAAATATGGTTCAATTTTCATTTTAGTGTCAATCATAAAGTATCATATCTTTTTTTTTTTTTTTTTTTTTTTTTGTCTTTTTCCTTTTTATTGGTACCAGGGATCGAACTCACGACTGCCTGCTTACAAGGCAGGCACTTATGCCGCTGAGCTAAATCCCCAGCCCAAAGTATCATATCTTGATAAACAGGGCATTCTCCTTAAAAACCACATGTGAGGGGCTGGGGATTTAGCTCAGCGGCCTAAGCACCTGCCTTGCAAGCAGGCAGTCCTGAGTTTGATCTCCACTACCGATAAAAATAAAAAAGACAAAAAAAAAAAAAAAAACCCCACATGTGAAATTATTACTCCTCTCTTTTGCATTACCATGGAGAAAGTAGCTGAAAAATAAATCATTCTCTGCTTTTGTGTTACTTTGGAATGCAACTGTGAGGATTTTGTTTTGTTTTTTGAGACAGGGTCTCACTATGTGGTTCAGGCTTGTCTCAGACTCAGAGATCCTCCTGCCTCAGTCTCCCGAGTACTCGGGCTTACAGGCGTACTCCACCACACTCGGCATGTGAGTTTTCAAAATGATTTCTAGTTATGCCCAGAAAACTACCTCCGTATAGTATGGCTCAGTACCACCCCCTTTTGTCGAGACTTGGAAACCACAGTTAACATTTCCACAGACAGGAAGCAATTGTGCCCAAGAAGACAACAATTCCCGACATGCCTCATTGCAGGAGACGCCGACAAGCCATAGCGGTTAGTCATCCTTCCCGCGGCCTGCTTCCACTTCCGGGGCTGCGGTCCTAGCGGGCGCGCGCACGCACCGATTTGTTAAGGAAACAAGGCCCCGAGGCGCAATAGTGGACGGAGGCGCGTTGGCGTCACGTGACGCGGGGCGCGTTTGGTGAAGCGCGCGCTTGCGCGCGTCCTAGACGGTCGCAGTCAGGCGCGCGCGGTTGTGAGCCGAGGGAGGCTGGGGCTGGGCCAGCGGTGGCAGCTGGACTAGACGAAGCGGGAAGGCGGGGCCGGCTCCGGGACCGCGGCGACTACACTTCGAGCGAGCAACAAGGCCTGAGGAGAGCGATGCTGTGGTTCCAGGGTGCCATTCCAGCCGCTATCGCGTCAGCGAAGAGGAGCGGCGCGGTGTTCGTGGTGTTCGTGGCAGGTGAAGGGGGCTCGGGCTCGGGCTCGGGCTCGGGAGACGGCCGGGACACGCCACGGGCCTACCTTCGCTCCCCTGCCGCAGGTGCCCAGGCTGCCCTCGCCTGGCCGCAGGCCCCATTTGCTTCCCGCACCGGGGATCCTATCGCCGTCTCCCCTGGGGTACAGGCCGACGCCAGCGCCCGGCGTCTTGAGCTTCGGGCGTCCTCGGCCTCTCTTCAGCCCTCCGCAGGGCCCCGCTTCACACCCCCCACCCCACCCCCGGTTTGCGGTACGGCGGGCTGAGCCGCCTAGCCAGGCGTCCTGGTGGGAGGCATTGTCAGCCGTGACCCCGCCAACACCTCCCCGAGTGGGGATGGGGGACCCGGCGAGCAGGCCCGCTCGGCCCCGCCGAGCCTCGCACTCGGCCGCCGGGGGAGCGGACCTCAGTTTGCTGCCCGCGCCCCTCCCCGCCTCGGATTCCCCTCTTTCTGATGCTTGGACGCCCGTTTAGTTCTTCCTGTGCAGGTAGGGATAGGAACGGGCCTTAGGCAAGCATTCGGGTTCGTAATTAGTTGTGGACTGTCAGGAAGAAAGCTGTGTCATCGGTAAGTAACAAAGAGAAACCACCTCGTGTTTTCGGTTGGTAAGTAAACTTTTGAGCTTTATAGAGGTTTTATTTACCTTGTGGTAGTGCTGGGTGCGTGTAAGGTGAAATAACTACTTTGTTTTAAGTTGGATTTTTAAATTTATACCATTAGTTTAAGAGAAATACACATTCAGGGCTGGGGTTTTAGCTCAGCGGCATAAGCCCCTGTCTTGCAAGCCCGCGGTCGTGAGTTCGATACCCGATTTAACTACACATTAAATTCCAGATTTTTCCCCTTCGTTATTTTCAGTCCTGAACTCAATATGTTTTTTGTTATGTTTTTGGTTTTTTGTCTTTTTGAGACAGGATCTCACTTTGTAGCCCAGGCTGGTCTGTAACTTGCAACTGTCCTCTTGCCTTAGCCTCCTGAGTGCAGGGATTTTGGTGGTGTGTGCCACTAAAAACAGTTTTTGAGGAAGTATACTAATTTATTTATCCTGTGTCGTTTTGAGTTATTTTCCCGCGTATTCACCTGTTTACTGAAGTCTTGCGGATTTATTGTAAACTATTTGCCTCTGTGATTTTGCTTATTGTCATTACATGGATCAGTGTTTGGAATAATTATTAATTTGAAGTGTATTCCTTCAACTACTTGTGTTTAGTAACTGTTTAATTCACTGGCAACTTCTAGTAGCTTTTTAACTATACACTGCAGTGAAAACAAATTGCTGAAATACGAATATTTGGCATTAAGTTTGAAAGTTTTAGTTATGTTAAATTTTTAGCTTACTGCTGTTAACTAGAAGAGCTTGAGTAGTTTAGATTGTGTTAGGCTGTGTGCGCTGTGGTTACACTTTACATAAATTACTGCTGTAATGAAGTAAGAATAGAATAAAAAGGAAATACAGTAAATGACATTACACTTACGAATTCAATATAGGTTACAAAAAGAATTTACATCTTAGTAAAATAATTTTAGTAGCTTTAGTAGCTTGTTTTTTGCTAAGGAAAAATATTGAACTGTTGTGGATTTTTTTTTTTTTTTTTGTCTTTTTCGGTACCGGGGATTGAACTCACGACTGCCTGCTTGCAAGGCAGGCAATTATGCCGCTGAGCTAAACCTCCAGCCCCGAGTTCTGGATATTTATGTAGCAATTTAAATTAGTATAGAAATAAGTTGAAACTATGGTGGTTTTTTTTGGTGGTACTGAGGATTGAGCCCAGGGCCTTTGCATTGAGCTACATCTCCAGGCCTTTTAAAATTTTTTTTTTTTTTTTTTTTTTTTTTTAATCCGTACCAGGGATTGAACTCATGACTGCCTGCTTGCAAGGCAGGCGCTTATGCCCGCTGAGCTAAATCCCCAGCCCCCAGCCTTTTAATTTTTTAAGACAAGTTCTTAAAGTTACACAGGATAGGCTTAAACTTGCAGTCCTATTCTCTTAACCTCCCAGAATGCTGGGATTACAGGTGTGTACTAACATGGCCATAGTGATTTTTTTTTTTTAAATAAACACAATTGATGGTGTCCAAACATTCCTCAAAGGCTCTCTGAAAATTTTTTATTATTAAGCTTTTTTATTAGTACATGTATATATGTAACACATAATGACTCTATTCATTGTGGAAAGTTAGTACATGTGTATAACTTTTTTTACTTCTCTCTCTTCTTCCTCTATCTGGATTTCCTTAACATTTGTAAAGCATATCTCCCTGGCTGGGCACGGTGTCTGTAATCCCAGCCCTGAGGAAGCTGAGGCAGGAAAATTGCCTGAGCTACAGTGAGTTCAAGGCCAGCTTGAACTGTATAGAAAAACTCTTGTCTCAAAAACCAAAAGGATTTATCTTCGTGTTTCCTACTTTTTTTTTTTTTTTTTTGTCTTTTTCATTTTTATGGGTACCAGGGATCGAACTGCTTTCAAGGCAGGTGCTTACGCCACTGAGCTAAATCCCCAGCCCCCGTGTTTCCTACTTGTTTTGCTCTTTAACAGTTTCTCATGTGTGAGAAACCATTGTGACATTTACGCTTGTGTGTCTGCTTTATTTCATTTAACATCATGGTATATGGTGCATCTGTTTTCCTACTATCAATTTAACTGCTTGGTCTTAATGACACAGTAGTACTCCATTGTGTATACATTCCACGTTTTCTTTGTTCATCTGTTGATGGACATAGAGCATACTTCTAAGATTTATCTATTATCAGTTGTACCGCTGTAAGCATGAGTAGTATGTATTGGTGTGATAGGATACCTTTATCTTTTTCAAGAAACTACCTAGAAGGAATAGCTGGATCAAATGGAAGTTTTATCTTTAGTGTTTCGAGGAATTGCCATATTGATTTCCACAGTAGTTGCATAGTTTTCATTTCCACCAAGTTTAAATGTTTGTTTTTTCCTGTAGTCGTATCAGCTTTGCCAGCTTTTGTTACTGTACAAATTCTTGAGGATAGCCTTTATTTCTGGAGTAGGGTGGAGTCTCAGTGTTGTTTTGTTTTCTTTTCTTAATAGTGTTTCCTTTGATGGTTCAGGCTGCCTTCAAATCATGCCAACCCTCCTGTCTCTGTCTCCCAAATGCTAGGATTGGAGGCATGCACCACTGTGCACCTTGGTGGTGTTTGATTTGCATTTTTCTAATGGTCAGAGTTGTTGAACATTTTTTCATGTAATTATTGGCCATTTGTGCTATGTACTTCTTCTGAGAAGTGTCTGTTTTTTTCACTTGTCCATTTTTTGATTGAGTCTTCTACTTTGGGGGTCTAATTGTCTTTTAAAAATTTTTTTGTTTCTGAGAATTGAACTCAGGACCTCATACTTGCCAGGCAGGCTTTGTGCTGTTGAGCTATATCCCTGGCTGGTCTAATTGTTTTTGTGTTCTTTATAGTCTAGACCAGTGATGGTAAACCTTTTTTTTTTTTTTTTTTGGTCTTTTTCCTTTTTATCGGTACTGGAGATTGAATTCACGACTGCCTGCTTGCAAGGCAGGCGCTTATGCCGCTGAGCTAAATCTCCAGCCCCTGATGGTAAACCTTTTAAAGCTTTCAATGATAGCAAACAACCCACTGCCACATATGAACCAAAGATTTACCACCACTGGCCTATATGTTAGTCCTCTGTCTTGGTTTAAATTTTGGCAAAATTTTTTTTCCCATTCTGTAGGTTGTTTACATTCTGATGGTTGTTCTCTTTGCTGTGCAGAAGCTATATAATTTATTATAACTCCATTTTTTTTGTTTGTTTTTTTTTTGTCTTTTTGAGACATTGTCTTGCTGTGTAGTTCAGGCTGGCCTTGGGCTCACTTTGTACCCTGGGCTGGTCTCAAACTTGCTGTAATCCTCCTGCCTCAGCCTCCTGAGTGCTGGAATTACAGAAGTGTACCACCAAACCTCGCCCCTATTTGTTAATTCTTAATGGGAATTTTTATGTGGGGTACCGGGGATTAAACTCAGGACATTGTGCTTGCCAGACAGGCGCTTGTGCCACTGAGCTAAATTCCCAGCCCTTCATTTGTTAATTCTTGATGTTATTTGGTCTTCAAGAATTTTACCTTTGTTTTCCAGGCAATTTTACCTGTGCATGTGTCTTCAAGAATTTTACCTTTGTTTTCCAGGAGATTAAATGTTGCTGTTTTAATATTTTAGTCTTTTGTCTATTTTGATTTTCTTTTAGTACATGGTGAGCAATATAAATCTTTTACACTTTTTTTTTTCTTTTTTCTTTTTTTTATCGGTACCGGGGATCAAACTCACGACCGCCTGCTTGCAAGGCAGGTGCTTATGCCGCTGAGCTAAATCCCCAGCCCCAAGCAATATAAATCTAAATTCAGTCTTGCCTGTGTATCCACACTCTTGAGATAATAACTTAAAATCAATGTGAAAAAAGAAATAGTTTTACTTACCAGCCAAATCATTTAAATATAGGATGACCAAAAATTGCAAGAATTGATTGGTTGAAATGACACCTGCCCCAGCAACAATCTGGATGTCAGTTTGTAAACAGCTGCTCAAGTGACTCTCAGGGTAAACTGTAAAGCGGGTAGTGCCATTTTGGGAATCCAGCCCACGTTCCTGGTAGTGGTATGCTAGTAATCTACCTATCATTAAGCTACATCTGCAACCCAGAGTGCTAGATTTGATTATTTCAAAATTCATTCAGAAAATAGCAGTGCAAATTATTGAAATAGGGGTTGGTGATTTAGCTCAGTGGCATAAGCCTGGCAAGCATGAAGTCATGAGTTTGATCCCTGTCACAAAAAAAAAAAAAAAAAAGTTGAAATAAAGTTACAGGTCTTGTACATTGGGGCTGTGGGTGTTTATATATTTTTCAGTTAACTTTTTATTGATGAGCAGGTATTACATGTGTTTGGAATATAAATAACTATGTCGGATGTTTGCAGGAAGACTTTTCATGCACTGACAAAGGAGTTTCCTTTGATCTGT